TGGGACAGATTTAAATCATACTTGAGTGATCTCTCTCCCTCATACATTACTGTCTTGCAGAAATACAAATAGGGCAAAGTTACCATGATTTGACTCTGTTGTACGCAAATAACTTAACAGACGTGCCATATGTTGGCGTACTTACTTATCTGCTCCTTCATCATGAACCCTTAAGCGCTACCGAGAGCCTCGAAATGCCTGCCGACAGCATATACGAAGTGCTCGACTACAGCATGAAGTAGAGCTTGCTCGTTTAGTCTCATCAAACCCAAAACGCTTCTTTGCGTATGTTAAAAGGCGAAGCAACATGAACTCGCGCATCCCAGTGTTGTTTGTCTCCGACGGCACTGCTGCTGTCACAGATCACGAAAAAGCTTGTTTGCTCGGAGGACAGTATGCTGGGGTTTATGTTCGAGAGTAGCGACTGCCGTATATCAGCCTGCAGGCAAAAGTTCCTGAGGGCTCTATCTTGGAGATGGTTTCCATAACGGAGACTCAAGTGCTCCGGCTTCTGAGGAAATTAAAGTCCAATAAAGCTGCCGGTGGGGATGCTATTCATCCCAAACTGTTGTACGAGTTGGCTGATGAATTTTGCCCTCCGATTACACAACTTTTTGTGAAGTCTACGCAGCTGCTCTCTACCCACTCACTGACTGGAAGGAGGCTATTGTTTATCATTTAAAAAAGGTGACAATCACCTTCCTGATAACTATAGACCGGTCAGTTTGACACGGGTGCTGGTCAAGTTGTTCGAAAAACTCGTGGGTGACGCTCTCGAAGGACACTTGAGAGCGTTTGACTTGCTTAATCCCTCTCAGCACGGCTTTTGTAAGGGCTATTCTAACTAACTATTCTAACTTGTGAACGGCTCGCGAACACTGGGCCGAAGCCGTTGATTGCGGGAAGGCAGTGGACGTGCTGTTCACTGACTTTTCCAAAGCTTTTGACACCGTTCCACATTCTCGCCTTTTGTACAGGCTGAAGTCCTACGGTATTTCTGGACCAGTCTTACGATGGATTTCAGTTTTCCTAATCAGAAAGGAAATGTGTGTGCGGGTAGGTTCCAGCCTGTCCTTCCGCCAATGTGTTCTCAGTGACGTTCCGCAAGGTTCAATCCTTGGCTTTCTCCTCTTCACTTTATACCTTAATGACCTACCCAATGAATTGGGTGTGCCATCCTTAATGTTTGCAGATGACTTGAAACTCTGGTTCACGATAGACGATCGGATTGGTCCACTGACCCTACAGGGGGCTCTGGATAGACTTTGGGACTGGTCTCTTTTGTGGCAGTTGCCCGTTAATTTAGCGAAATGTTCAGTTTTACTCGTTGGTTCGAATGACCCGCGGACGCGTTATTTGCTTAGCGGCAACGATGTACCGCGAGTTTAATTCCAATCTGACCTTGGAGTTTTGCTGTCATCAGACTTTAAGTCCAGTGAACACACTGGACCACAGCTGTTCGCAAAGGTTTCAACATCTTGTGGTTGATCCGCAGGTCATTCAGGATCATGACCACCGAAATGTTCGTCAGACTATTTTCGGCTTTTGTAAGGCCGCACTTGTCGTATATGCCTAGTTCGTGATAAGATGGCAGTTGAACGAGTCCTGCGGTCCGGGACGAAAATGGTGCACCAATTAAAGTAGCTAAAGTACCCGGAGAGGCTAGGTAAGTTGGATTTGTTTTCCATGTATTACAGGCGGCTTCGGGGCGACTTGGTCCTCACGTATCGTATACTGATAGGTCAGATTGGTCTTGATTTGGCTAGACTGTTTTGCCCAACTCGAGCATCAACCTTTCGTGGTCACCCATTTATGTTGCACAAACCCCGGTCTGATCGGGTTTGGGCGGCTTTTCGGTTATCGCGTAGGGTCATAGCTTATTGGAACGCACTGCCTACAGACGTCGTGATGGCACCGACAGTGAAAGAGTTCGAGCATCGACTTGACACTCTCGGTCCGCAGTTTAAAGTCTTCCCCTTCATACCTTAAGCTTTTACTTGTCTACTACGGCCTACGCTTCTTTAATTCAGTTTAACGCACATCTTAATATTGCCCACGAAATTCGATAAGCCTGTCTTCTCTGTTTCCTTTCGTTTTCTTTTATTTTTCACGTGGCCGGCCCAGCGGGGACTGCTAGTGCAGGACACGTGGTCATTGTTTGGTTGACCATGTGAATCGTGTGTTGATTTGGCTCTCCTTTGGCACATCAATGCACCGGTTTCCCTGTTGGATCAACGACGTTTTGAACATTCACGGGATTTTCCTACTGTTTCGGTCCCGCTTGAACTTGAACTCCCTTAGCACATAAAATCGAGCCGCAACTGCAGTGGCTCCGGTCATCTCGAGGTGTTGAGACGCCGGATACTGCGAACTTCACAGAATTACGTGTGCTCAATCTGGAAGGACAGCTGCGGAATCTATTGATGAAATTTGATGGCCTAGCCGAACGACGGTTGCCGAATTCCTGCCCTCCTGTCTTACATGTTGTATCCTTACAAAATGTCGATCTGCCCAGCACTCGTCAACGCGCATAGCTCCTGGCGAAGGCCCGCCCTTCTACGAAGCCTACTACCGTCCTAAGTTTGGGTCCAAATAGACCTGCAACGCATGACTCCACCCCTAACTCAGTCATATGCACGAGCGTTCCAAACTCTATCGACCTGTCTTATTTCGTCTTTAGCAACTGAACTTGTTCTTCTTAGCTTATCGTCAAGATAACGGGGATTTGATTTTCACACGATGTATCCCCTTGAGAGTTGAACTGCAGGATTTCTTTTCACTCAGTTCCTTCAGTTTGACTCGTGATCACTTTTGAAAATTGTTTAAAGAATACTTTGGGTTCGTGGTGTCACTCTATCTAGTAGAGTGGTGAGCGGTGAGCGGAACAACCTACCTGTGTATGTCGTTGATGCGCAGTCGGAGGAATGTCTCAAACATCGATTGCATCTTCATCTGCTGACTAAACTCGGATCTTGTTGCTTCTTGTGTCAATGCAGCGGTTCCATTGGTACCGACTTGTAATGTCCACCTTGATCCCTGTGCCGAGCGAGAGGCGAAGGAGCTGACAAATGATTTTTCCTTCTGCTCTCTACATTTCAATGATCCAATGAGCACATTTTCGGCCCATTTAGAGTCCGTGCGCTACATACTCATTGACGGGAACAGTAATGGAATTTGAGGGAACTCCTGTGGTTTCATATGCTCGCACGGGTGTGATTTGTGACGATCTCTCTCAATCTCATTGAGTTCGATTCCGACCCACTGGGTTTTACTATTCGTTGTGTGACAACAGTTGGAATCTTGCATTCCTTCAATTCTGCATATCGGTTCTACTTCGGTTCCTGCTTAGACCATTGCACGTTACAGAAATGGCGACAGGTGTTTTCCGATTTGCAAGGCAAGGAATGCGATCCATGGGTCCTTCAAGTCCTCCGCCTTAATGGCGATTTGTCCACCTGGAAGCGTACAGTGGATTTTTCTCTTAATTTGCTCCTTCCCACCAGGAGAATCTGGTACATGGTTTCGCACTTGGGTACTCCTATTCAGACGATGCTCAGGTATCCTGGAATATCCTCCACATCATCATCAGTGAATTCCGTATATGAATTTACGAAATCTTTCCCCAGGCGAGGCGGCATTCCGAATCCACCGCATCTCTGGAACAACAGGACGCCGCGCCTGTTGTTCATCCTCCGCACTCACCACCGCATCCTGCACTGATACAGCATGGTTTGGTCTTTGCGAGTTCCACCGATGTCTTGGACTGCCCTTTCCTTCAACAAAAGCTACAGCTCGTAAGTCCGTTGCAGCAACAAACTTTTATAATTGCAGAGCCAGCCCGTTGCCTAAAGGTAAAGATCTTGTCTTATAATCTGACGGCGCGGGTTCGAGCCTGCGTAGAGGCATGGCGACCCTCGCATTAGTATTCTTAGCCCACGTGCGGTCGATGGTAGTCGCGCGGCAGCGAAGCCTCGGTACTGCGTACTGGCGTGTTGCTGATGCCTCTCTTCTCGCATCTCCTGCTGTCATTAGACGGAATTAAAACGGCTGAGGCATTACAATCCAATGCACTCTCGCCCCTGTGCACCATCACACAGGAAAAGTATCCCTTTAGGACTGGTTCACTGTCCTCCATCTTTGTCTGCTACTGCTATGCCACGTCGTCGAAGACCTTGATGTGCCGATACTCGTTACGCCATCTGTAGACATAACATGCGCCGTTTTGGTCGTGACCCCCTTTCAGACCGCCTCAGTTTTCCCCACTAGAGACAGTACTATAACCATCGGTCCCACAAATCGGATTATATGGTCCGGCCCCAAAGCTAGTTTAATCGGAGAAACCCTCCAAACACTTTACTTTCTACTCCGACTCTGACATTTCACAGTCTGGAAGCACATTACCGGTGAGGTTTCTATTTACGACAGGGACCCATAATGCTTTGTATGATCCTACCTGTTGTCTACTACCGTCCTATCCTGTGCCCAATTTCACTACCCACATTTATGGACCGGACCCCGGTGTACTTCCATGCTCTGTTTGACTTCGCACCTCTCGCCCTTGCTTTTGGACCATCATCTACTACGAGGCGGAGTTGGCTCCAGATTGGATGTCAAACCTGTTGCTGGATTTTCTGTTCAACATGGTCCAGAACCACCAAATGCTCAAGTTAAGGCTCATTTGGGCTTCGTGGACGACGCCTGCTCGTTGGGGGAGATATTGCAGCGAAGTCCCTCAATCGTACCTCCAGTTGAACTGACTTTAAATGGAATGGGATTCTGTAAACATCTCCGTTAACTCTTTTAACCACTTATTAACAAACTTTTACTATCACTATATATTCCTTGTCTATATGTTTGTACACAGTTTTTCTGGCTTGGGTTGCCCCCTATTCACCTGTGTGACGTGCACCTCTCTCCTTCTAACTGAGTTCGATTCCGACCCATTGGGTTTTACTATTCGTTGTGCGACAGCCGTTTGAATCTTGTATTCCTTCATTTCAGCGTATCGGATCTACTACGGTTGCTACTTGGACCATTACACCTTACAGTTTCGAGTCCGACGGTCTGCCTTCACACCGATAGTGAGCGCGCCCCAGCAATGGTAGATGACAATTTATCTCCGGACGAAAAGGTGACTTGCTGATTTCCATTCGGTTTACTTCGTGATTGCAGATGACTATCGGAGCTAGATTGGCTATGCTTGCTCCCCCCTGTGAATTTACGGAAGTCCTGGAAGGTACTGTAATAACGAATCACTTTATAAATATACAGACGTGCGTGTTGTTACCGGTGACAGCGTAACGATGCAAAAGAAGTTGGCTGCGTATGTTCAGCTCTTGCTTCTGATTTTTAATTATTCTAGAGCTGCTGCGCAACACAACAAGGACCAGTTAATTCCCGTTAAGCTACCGAATGCAGAACATTCGTCGCTGTTGAGTGTGCATGGCGATCTAGGTGGTGGTTACTTCCTTTGTCCAAGGAAGCATGTTTCATTTCACTTTGATCATCTGAAAGGCATTGTCAGTGATGTAAAATCTTTGGAACCCAATGACGCTGATGGCGGCAGTATAGCAGCCGAGAACTGGCGGCACTGTCTAGAGTTTGAATTGACAAACTACACCTTAGAACATTTCCCTGCAGGGACAGTTGCTGTTTACGCGCCTTCAAGCTGTAACGGCGGCCATCGTTTAATCGCCTGCCTTGAATCCCACTTTTGTAAACACCAGTCGTGAGTTCGGAAATCCGGTTTTCGTTTTTTAGCCTCTTTATATGGCACATGTTGCTTGTTACGGTTTAATAGGTCTACTTTATCATGCATTTGACATGTTCGCTTGGTTGCTGCCAAACTCTGCTGCTTTACATACTTACTGCTACTTGCACTTAACACTACTTCTAAATAGACGGTGAATTACTTATTTTATCCAGTAATATGTTCCGGCAGACGGTTCCAGTCCTTTACTACCCTGGTAGATAGTGCATCTTGGGGACGGGGGTGAAGTGTCCTCGGCTTAAATAATTTGCACTTGTGAGCACGTGTCGAGCTGCTCACATTGGGATGGAAGAGTTGCTGCAGCTTACTTCCAAACGCTCCCCTTAGGACGCATCTGGTGTAAAGACCTCCGCGACGGCGGCGGTATTCCAGGGAGAACGGGTTAAACGTCTTAAGTCAGAGAGTGTAGGGGAGATCCCGAAGCTCCGATGTAGATTTTGAATCGCGCATCTACACCTTCTTTATCTGCTCATGTTCAGATTTCCTTAAAGACTAGGTGGTCAGGACACTATGTTCTAGAATCGAGCGAGCATGCGAAGTGAAAAAGGTTTTAAAATTATCTGGCGTAGTTTCGTAGATCGCTCTTCGCAAAGCATAAAGCATTCTCTTGGCTGCCGCGACCTGCGTGTCAAGCGATGTCTTGAGATCTTGTGAGACGATGGTTCCCAGGTTCTTCTCATGTGTGACAGTCTTGAGTAGATATCCCCCGATTCGGGTCACCAATCGGGAGAACGGCACATTTGTCACGGTTTACTGAGAGTCGCCACTCGACGGACCAGTTGTGCAGAAGATCAAGCGAAGCATGTAGTCTGTCTGCATCTTCGGGTCAAGAAACTTCTGACCACAGTTTGAAGTCATTAGCGTGGACTAGACAGTCGGTTTGAAGTGTTGCTGGAACATCGTTAATATAGTCGGAAGAGCTCTGGTCCAAAGATGGAGCCTTGGGATACTCAACTGGTTGTAGACACTGGAACGGAATTTTTGATTCACCTTCACCTGAATATTTCATGCTTTTAGGAAGTCAAATATCCTGGACACTAGCTCCCTGAAGTATGAGAGAAGCTGAAGTCAGTAAAGATGACATCAAGATGTCTCTTCTCATCTGTTGCTTTGCCCCATGCTTCTCTGGCAGCAAGCAACTTGACGATGCAGGATCGTGTCCTGTGGAATCCGTGCTGTGGGAGGGAGAGTACGCATAAGCCTTCACAGTGAGGGCGCGCTTACTTATCCTTTCCATGATTTTGCAGACAATAGACGTCAGACATACCGGCCGGTAGTTCGCAAGATACTGCCAGTCACCTTTCTATTTGGGCATTACACTTCCTACTTTCCAAGCGCGACATAAGCGGCCTTCCGCAAGTGAGGTCTGGAATACTTGGCACATCGGGTCGGCAATGTGCTCCGCCGACATCCTGAGGAATATTAGCTCTAATCCGTCAGTGCCTGTTGCAGAGTTAGGGTTCAAGTCTCGGATTAGTGGCATGACCATATCGACGCTAATTTCAACTTGCTCCAGGATTAAGGAGCTCGTGGACACATCGTTTTTGAGCAGAGGTAGCTCCACCGAGTAGAATGCTGAGTACTGCGAGGCCAGTAGATCGACCTCGTCATCGTGATGGAGTACAGAGACTTTTCCAGTGGCAGATAGAGAAGAAATACCAATGCCTGGTGTTTTGCCAGAGCTACTGTGGTATTGGAGGCTATGTTTGATCTTCGGTACCCACCAGCTTTTGCTCGTAGGATCACTTAATGGGTAGTTATGAAAACCGCTTGTCGGTATTTGGCAACTAATCCTCTTTGTTTGAAAATCCTCTTTGTCGAAATCTCCGCACCAGCAGTTTCCCAGCTTGAGTACATCCACTTGAAGTTGCAAAGTATTGGTAATACTCACTGGTATAGTGCCGGTACATTTTTATATTACGTCTACACGTACTCTAATGACGCAGCTTGACTGGTTAGTTATCCTGATCCATGCATGCATGTTCGCTCATTTTCTTCTTCGGGATGTGTTGTTGGACGAAATCGCACATGTTTGGACACCACCCGTGCACTTGTATGTGTTGACATGCGGATGCGTTTTGGCGGACCCCACGATGACGATGTGAGCAAATTGACGCCAGTTAACTGGCGAAGCCAACTGTTCTGTATGCGTACCGAAATAGGTTGACACGCAGGTTGAGTAAGCGCTCACTGGAGACAATTGAACTTCACTGGCCTCATATTCACCAGACCTTACTAGCAGCAGGTAAATCGTCATGTGGTAAGTCTAATAGCCAACATAGACATTGGTTCTCTTTGTGGTCTCTGGAACTTATTGATACTCCCCGACATATTCCGACTGGAAGCGAACACAATGAAACTCGTAAAGACCTCCGGGCAAAGCTCTGTGCTGGTTTGAAGAGAGACCGCGAATCCTCGTGGTCTCTTCGTGCATCAGAGATGGAAGTGGTCTCTACCCTTCGTAACCATCGGAAGTTATTCCGTCTGATACGGGAAACGGGCAGGAGGAGACTTGGTGTTAATGAAGCAATTTGTGACGAGAGTGGACAGCCTATCCACAATTTGTCGAAACGTTTAGAGCGTTGGGCTGAGCATTTTGAGAAGCAATTTAATCGGCCGGAATTGTTAGATTCATCACCGGTCAGTGTTCGCCCTGCTCCGTGGGCTGTCCCTTTGAATCCGCACTCTCGCTCAGAAGGGGACGGTGAGATCGGACTGTTGAACTTGGATAAGGCCGCGAAACCAGCCCTCTTCAAATTCGGGCGCCTTGCTCATGTGGATGATTTATACGAGTTACTAGTGAAACCGTGGGAGCAGGAAATTGTGCCAACCGACTGAAGGGGTTCCGTTATAGTTCCGATCTTCAAAGAAGGCTCGCGTTCGGAATGCGGCAACCATAGAGGAATCGGTCTGATCCCCATCGCGTCCATATTACTTGCCTCTGTCATCCTTCACAGACTGACATGCTCGTGAAAGCCAGATTCGTGAGGAGCAAGCCGGGTTTCGTCGGGACCGTAGGTGCATCGACCACATCTTCACCTTGCGTCAGTTGTTGGAACACCGTCATACATATTGGCGGTCCACTGTAGTCGTGTTCCTCCACATCAAAGGTACCTTCGTTTAGGTGGGCCGACGTGTCCTTAGGGACTGTCTACTCAGGAAAGGTGTGCCCGAGAAATATGAATATATTATCCGAGCACTATACGCGCGTCGCTCGGGCAGCGTGAGGGCTTACGGCAAGCTGTCGCCGCCCTTCAGTGTCTCCAGGGGTGTAAGACAAGGCTGCCCGCTGTCACCTTTCCTCTTCGACTTCGCTATTGACGAAATCATAGAGATTGCGTTCATAGGACACGACTTAGAAGGTGTGGAGCTCCTCCTAGGAGAACGATTTCTTGACTTCTTCAGTATGCGGACGATATTGCCCTCTTCTGTGACAGCCCACAGACGTGCCAAGCTGCACTGGACAGATTATTACTGGTTGTGAGCCGCTTCAGGCTTTGCTTTGCACCATCGAAGTGCAAAGCTTTCCTCCAAGATTGAGAGGGATCGCCTCCTGCGCTTACCCTTGGTGGGGATCAGGTAGAACTCGTTCAGAAATTCAACTACCTGGGCAGTTGTATCAGCGCCCTTAGGATTGAAGATGAGATAACGAACCGTATATCAAAAGCTTGAGTTGCTTTTGCTAGCCTTCGCTATTTATGGCTCCGGCGTGACATCACTCTTGCCCTTAGGGGTAGAGTGTGCAATACAGCGGTACGTTCGACCCTACCGTCGCAACGAGACTGGACCTTAACGTGGTGCGACGGTTTGCGTACCTCATTGACCCATTGAGCTATACTGGGTGATGCCTCCGGGCACCTGGTAAGATACTTCTACCAGGTTGGTCAATGGTGAGAGGTCAGACAAACTCAGTCTCCTGGTCCTCCAGGTTGGGGGTTTGAAATGGAATGGCGTCCATTTCTGTAAAACTAAATCATTGCCACCTCCGCGCTGCCTTGCGGACAGGTTTTTGAGCCAAAGGCTTTGGATGAGGACCCTAATCGTGCTCCTGTTTAGATCTGGGCGCCCTGGCAGTATCTCAGCTCAGAAATAACCATGACTTTTTCTTCAAACATAAACTTCATCCTGCATCGGCTGCCGTGCAGATTATCAAGGGTCGCCTTATCTGCTGCATACAGTAGGGCGGATAAGCGAAAACGTGCTACTGCTGGCGCCTCCCTTCTGTCTTTTCCACTTGTTTTACTTGCTCTCATTCCGACTTCCATTACTAACCTTAATTCTTTAATCCCCAGCTTAATTGACAGCAACCGAAGTGCCACTGGAGTAGAACCATCTGCAGCCACCATCCCACCGCACCTATCAGACGCCTATCGGCAACAATCCCTTTTAAGGCCACGCTGTCCCGTTTCCATGGCGACGCTCAAAGTTCGCACTCTAAGACAAATAGGTCAACAGGCTGCACTCGCACGCATCTTGGACACACTGGGTATTGATGTGTGTTGTGCGTCCGAAACTAGGATCAATGACCCTAACGGGGTTGTTGAGTTAACTGCACCCGGCTTATCCTCTCATTCTTGGTTGCACGCATCCGGAGACGCCGGTGCAGCACTCATGGGGCAAGCTGGTGTAGATATCATTCTAAGCTCCAAGGCTGAGCCATGGTTGGTTGATTGGATTCCGGTAAACAGCCGTTTCTGTGCAGCCCGTTTGACGACATCAGCTAAGTTTATTCACGAAGTAGTACAAAACGCTGTTTGTTTGTGATTTCCGCTTATGCTCCCACCGACTGCAGTTATAACGCTGTCTAGCACACATTCTATCACGAACTGAACGCGCTACTACGCAGGTCTACTAATTCAGATATTATAGTACTTGCAGGGGATATGAACACACAGGTAGAACGTCTGAGCTCTTCAGAAGCTCAGCTGGGTGGCAATTATAGGCTTAACTCCGAACGGACTGACAACGACGAGCGTCTGCTGCAACTGTGTGCGGAGCACCGGTTGTTTCTTACTAGCACTGCTTTTAGACACAATGGGCGCCGAAGTGCCACTTGGCGTCCTCCTGTAACTGGCCAGCGATGGGCCCAAATTGACCACATAGCCATAAGTTACAGGTGGCCTGGTTCCATCCTGGATTGCCTTGGACTCTGATCATGCTTTGGTACGCTGTCGTTTCTCCATGAACTTTACCGGGAGGCGTATCAAGCGTCTCTTCAGATGGGCAAATGATAAACCGTCTCAGCTCTTGGTCAGGCAAGCCTATCAAAATGCACTGCATACCGAACTTCCGCTGTCTTGTCATAATGACACTGAGCTTCCGTGGAATAAGGCCTCGCCCGCCATGCACGACGCAGGAGCATCTGCTTGTGGCACTATCAATCGTCACCTCACCAGTCACTGGATATCCGAGAGGTCGATGAACCTGTTGGAATCTAGAAGACACCTCCCTGCTGGCTCTGAACACAATGTGACCAGACAGGCTATTAGATGTGAACTAGAGCAGATCGTACGTGCTGACAAGGAAGCTTGGTGGACCAGTAGGGCTCAATAAATGGAGGAGGCAGGAGCAGTAGGCAATTACCGCAAGCTCTCCCACATAACCTGCACCAGTAGTCCTAGAAAACCAGGCGTCAGTGAGACAATCAGAGACAGCGCGGATGCGCTGATACACAATAAGAAGCGCCGTATGACTCGTTGGGCGGAACACTTTCAAGATCAGTTCAGCTGGCCTCCTGCTCCCGGACCTCTTCCTACGCAGGTGGTGCAGGACGAGCCATGTACGGTTAGGTTAGAGCCTCCGTCCGAGACCGATGTCCGAAGCGCGATCACAACCCTCAATCGTTTTCGTGCCGCTGGCCCGGATTCCCTCCCACATGCATTATTTAAGGATGGAGGTGAGGTCCTCTGCAAAGCACTGACCTTATTCGGATGTATCTGGAAAGAAGAGTGTTCCGGCTAATTGGAGCGAATCGATTATAGTGGCAATATACTAGAAGATCAGTCGCGCAGACTGTTCTAACCACAGGGGTGTTAGCCTAATGCCAGTTGTGACAAAACTACTGGCCTCGATTATCGTTCATCACATCACTGTGGAACGGGAATCTCGGATTAGGGAAGTGCAGGCAGGTTTCCGCCCTAGATGTGGCTGTATTGACCATATATTCACTTTGCAGCAGGTGCTAGAGCAGCGCCACGCATACCGCAGACCGACAATAGCGGTGTTCCTCGATTTCAAGTGTGCGCTCGAGTAAGTCGATCGATCGATTCTGTTCGAAATACTTGCGCGGAAAGGTGTTCCCGCGAAATATGTGAACATCCTTCGTGCTCTATACTCGAACAGTATAGGCCGCGTCAGGGTCTACGGTGTCCTATCGGATAGCTTTCCGACCACAAGTGGCGTTCCTCAGGGTTGTCCGATTTCCCCATTTTGTTCAGTTTCGTGGTGGATTCTATCATGGAGTGTTCCCTTGCGGAATCTCACGATGTAGGCGTTGAGGTCCTGCCTGCTGAAAGATTAGTTGATCTAGATTATGCGGACGATATCACCTAGCTTTTCGACGATGTAGCGGAGGTCGTTCAATCAACCCTGAATAACCTGTGTAGAGTATCCCATTATTTGGTATGCGCCTCTCACCTTCAAAGTGTTGCAGCAGCACCACCAGCCACTTTATGACTCTTTGAGCCTTGGTAACGAGGAACTCGAGGTGGTTGATGAATTCACTTATCTTGGCAGCTGCATCAGCAATGATGGGCGCATACAAACTGACGTCGGCTCACGCATTGCAAAAGCCAGAGCTACCTTCTTGAATCTGCCACATCTTCGGTGACAGAAGGGAATTTCCCTCCGTCTGAAAGGCCGGGCATGCAAGGCCACAGTGAGCGCCTTCAAGTCTTTGATCATCGTTGTGTGCGAAGCATTGCTGGTATCGGATGGCACCAGCGTGACCGCAACGATGATGTGCGTGGGCGAGTAATAGGTAGTGATAACCATGCTAGTTCCTTAAAATAACAGATAGCACAGAATAAGTTGCATTGGCTCGGGTACCTGCTACGTATGCCTGACCACCGCTTACCTAGGAGGGCCTTGTTTAATCTGTCAGGTGTAGGGTGGCGCAAGGCTCGCGGTGGACAGAAGTTGACCTGACAGCGGGAAATGAAGTCACTGACGACCAAGCTGGGTGCCGTTGGTCCGTCTCGCCTTCCGGGCTGGAGTCCACGTGACTCACCTTGTGCTTGGCTCCAGACTACACAGGACATGGCTCGCAACGGACACCAGTGGCGCGTCTGCTGCCGTCTCCTAATCGGATTGTCTGTTTAAAGTGTGTTTGGTGCTGAGTTATCTGCGAGGTACTGGTTGAGTATGATGCGGGGCAGTGAAAGCCGCAAGGAAGCTATCTCGTCGATGCCGCTTTATCTTTGCACGATAGCCAGCTGTTTGTGACGGTATGTTGTCTACACAAGGTGTAGGCGCCTTGACCCTGAATGTTTGCTTAGGGCATTAAGGTTTTCAGGTAAGTCCCGCTTCTCTCCTTCTTCTTATTCTTTATTTCATAGGTCCTCATGGTTGTATGGCAGTGAAGCATCAGTTCAAATGGCTGATGTACTGCTGTTGATGATGGTGGGGGTGGTGATGATGATGATGATGGTGGTGGTGATGATGACGATGATGATCATGATGACGATTATGATGATGCTGATGATGATGATGCTGGTGCTGCTGATGCTGACTGTACGGTTGCGAAACCTGGCCCCCTAGATCAGCAGACATGAAGAGGCTAGTTACGTTCGATCACCGGTGCCTTCGCGGTTTGGCTCACATCTGGTGGGCACAGCGCATGAGCAACCAGCGTGTTCGACGCCTTGTTTACGGCACAGGAAAAGGAAATGAACCGCTCAGCAGCGTCATTTCACGCACCAGGATCAGAGGGCTAGGCCACATGTTGCGCGTGCCGGCTCCCGCGACATGCGTTGTTTGCTCGCCGGGGGTGCGGATAGAATAAGAGGAGAGGTGACCAAGCGATGACTTGGTCGAGAGGAATGAAGGCCCTCACTTCTGAGCTGGCCTCGGTTGGAGCGTCATCGCTCCCTGCTTGGGGTCCGAAAGACGATGAACACGTTAGGCTGGATGCACTTGCTGACATGGCTAGGAGCCGGCCTCATTGGCATTTCTGCTGTGAGTTTCGTTGTCCGTCCCCATCTCTTTTCGGCCCCTCCCTCTATCTACGATCTCATTTCGTAGCGTAATATAATTTTACATAATAATTTTTTCTTTCTGCCTATTACCCGGCTGAAAGCTTTCCGGAACGATGCCCATCCGTTGCTGGTAGCTCAACTGGTATACAGCTGTTGCATTTTTTTTCTTTTATGTTTTGAGGCACGGTAGCTGAGGTGTTTTACACCTCTAGTTAACGTGTATAATGATGATAATGATGCAATCGCTATCTTATCTCTCCATCGTTTATAAACAGAGCCCTGGGAGACCGATCGTAAGGCCACGTTTGGTTGTTCCTTTGTCATATTTCTGGATAATGACCTCAGTACTGATCACCCCGGATGCTTGAAACTCTAAAATATATGATAGAACCATGTTGCTCTTGTGAGTCCTTCACGCTCTCTTCTACCTCTAACTTAAATCCCCTGTGCAGCGTTTTTCACCTTTCCTTATTTGACTTCGTTTTATTCTATCCTTTATTCTTTCGTTATGTCTTGTTATTGTTATGACGAAGTGAGCTAAAACTAGTATATCTACTGCATTTTATGCCGCGACCATATATGTCCCACTGAGATTGTTACAGAAATTTCACTTATTTTGATAGCACGGGTCGATGGCGTTCGGAATGGGTGATCAAATTACCTGAAAATCCAGGTTCCGCGTCCATCTCCGTTCACGGCGTTCTTAAAGTTCAGGTTAGTCAGCTCCTACCCTATGGAGCGCACCGTGTACCTAGGCGTTTTGAGACCACATTGTTAATGATTCATGATGTGCATGGGATAACCAAGTTTGTTGTCTTGCGCTTCTCAGAACTTGTATCAATCTCACTTTTTTGCGTAGTGGTTTGCAACTTTTGTTGCCCATTGAAGCGGGTTTACTTATGAGTGTTCTATGTTTCTGGGTATGGTTTTGTCTTCTTTGCCCTACTGCTCTGCGAGTCAGGCTTTCGTACAAGGACTAAGTGATCATTCATTGAATGCTTCTTAGAATGAGCGGCCAGTCACTGTCATTCTTCCCAAAATTATTCTCCGTGTTTTGTCACTTCATCCCTTCGATCTTTGCCTGTCAAGATTTTTCATGTTGACTCGAAATTGCATTCTTTTTGTTTGCAAAAACAACCCAACTAGGTTATCTTTTGTATTTAGTGTTTTAATCCACATCGGTTACTCTTGCGTCGGAACGTCTTGTCCCCCTATCCGTCCGGTGGCGTTTATTCTCAATCTGTATCCTATTTCAGTGCACCTGTTTTCTCGCCGAGAAATGCATACAAGACCAATGCGTCGTAGTTTTCCCCCTGGACATTGAGTTCCGGCTCCCATCGTCTCTTTTTTTGACAATGCTGACCCCGTCCCGTAGCCTAATGACAACGACCCTGTCTTGTAATCTGACCGCGCGAGTTCGAGCCTGCGTAGGGGCAGGGCGACCCTCGCATTAGTATGCTTAGCCCACGTACGATCGGTGGTGGTTACGCGGCAGCGAAGCGTCGGTAATGCCTACCGTCATACTGCTCATGCCCTTCTTTTCCTTGGTCTTTGGTATTTATAAACTGGGAGCTTTAATAGATACTTATGCAGAGAGGGATCTGCTTGAGTTGGCTTCAGCAATTTGCCCCCTGTTTGTTGTTTTCCGGCTGATCCAGCTGAAACCCACCAGTTTTAGTTTCATTGCATGATATCTCTCCTTTGTTTCAATGGGCTTTCACTTAACGTTATTTCTGAGTAGTCGGTTTCATTTCACCGATATGCTTAGAATAGTTAGAAATGCGCACGTGATCGTGCCTGGTGACCAGAACGCTTCTGAGGACAAGGCGACCATTGTAAGTGTCGCTCACAATCATTGTACCAACAGCGCAACTTTTCGACAGAATAATTTGCATCTCGTTGTAATGCACCTAACAAAACGAAGCTATTTTCCAGCTTTAGACACAAATGGTGCGCGCCATCGACGGATTATTCTCTGATCTCGAACACTTACCTCAATTTTACTACGATCCTAGTGCACACTTGTATAGCACTCGTTTTCTTGCCCTCAAAAGAACATTCAAGTTCAGAATTGTTTGTTTCTACCTGCATTCACGTTCTTGTCAACAGCTTGGTTATTTACTTTCAACCTCGTGTCGTTAAACGAAGCGTTCGGGACGAGTACTGTTTGGGGTTACCTCTGATACTTCGCACGAAGGCCTTCATAGCCACTTGCCCGTCCATATGAGCATGTCTAAATGCACTACAGATTTCTGATCTACCGATTAGTTCCACTAAAGTGAGGGGACAAATTTAAGTCTGTCACAAATGGCAAAATTGCCTCAGCGTTCTGGAATATCCTCCAGGTGAGAATCTTAGAACTGTTCAGGGAGCTCGGCCGTCGGATGTGGAATGTCAAGGTTTTTAAAGCGCTTATTCTTGCCGCCCCAACATCGGAGACACTAGCGACGAACCGACTCTTCGCTTCTTGTGCCACTTGGATTCGCTAAACTACGCTGAATGGTATTTTTAACCGTCTTATGGGCCTGCGGCTAGCAGCTTCGTTAGTAGTTGGAGGCCAAACGAGCTCAGTTTTCCGATTCTCTAGTTTTTTGTAGGCTATATTTGTGCTCATCTTCTTCTGTCATGTACATGGCCTTCCAGTCTTTTGCCTTCAATGTAGTAGCATCATTAAAAGTGTTGGTTGGCAGTGCTCCCTTTATTTAAAGCAGTTAGTTCCCTTTAGCAATTTGAACAATGCGCTAAGAAGACGAAAGCTAGTAGATGCATGCATTTGGTATTGTCTCCTCAGTACAATTAACAATAACCGATATGCAACTATATAAATAACTATGGGCGTGACCAGACAAGCTCAAGGTACAAAATGAATGACGTAAGTTCCATGGCAACCTTATGCTCACCTAAAATTGTTTTTGAACCCACAGTACTGGCTTCATCCGGCTTATTGCCATAGCCTCGGCGAAATGGAGGAAGCGAGGATTAGAGTGACGTAACACGATTTTGAACGTTGATCCGAGGCGTATCCGGTGATGCCTGACCAGTATGTGTTTATCTAATAAGGAAGCTGACGGCCTGCGCGAGCGCGAAGATTCAGTGTGGGGGGTGGTCAGTGATTCTGGTCAATTTCACATTGAACCCCCCTTGCCACGCGTTCCTTTAATCGGGGACTCAAAGAGCGAGCAGTTCTGTTTATGTAACTGGCTCCGCAGTTACACACAAATTGGTATATGCAGTGTGAATTGGATATGGGTAGCCCACTAGACACTGTACTCACCGATTTCTTTACGCTTATGATAGAAAGAGGTATATCCACGAAAATAGCCAAACTGCTATACTATCAGCGCTATGTAGAGGACATACTGTCTTTTTGGTTCATCGGAGCAGCAGATCGTGCAGTTAGTGGAGCAGCTTAACGGCGCACATGCCAATTTCTGGGTCACGTGTGAGGTGGAGCAGAGAACTGTCTACCATACTTGGACATCCTCATCAGTCGCAGGAATGACGGACTAATTAAGAGTTCCGTCTATAGAAAAGCTACATGGTCCGGCCAATACTTTGCACTTCACCAGCTTCACACCAGTGCGGTATAAACGGACACTTGTGAAAAACTTAGTCGCGCTAGACGAATTTGTGCGGCGGATTGACTGGCCGATGAGCTAGATTTAATTACAACTACGCTCATGCCTGATGGTTACCCTCGCAGATTCAACAGCGAGGCCCAGACGATTTAGTGCATATAGCAGCCAGAAAAGACATCTATATCGCTTTTACCATCAAGGATACTTCCCTACACTGAAGATCATCAAACCTTTAATTTCTGCTACGCAGGAAAGTTCCCACGCTGCTCAAATTGTGGTCATTTGCCGGTGCCTCCAACGAAGGAAGCTCAACCGTTCGGGGCCAACTCATACTGCATATACCAATTTGTGTGTAACTCGGAGCTAGTTACATAAACTGAACTGCTCGCTCTTTGAGTCCCCGATTAAAGGAACGCGTGTCAAGGTGGGTTCAACGTGAAATTGATCAGAATCCCTGCCCCCCCACCCTGAATCTTCGTGCTCGCGCAGATCGCCAGCTTCCTCAATAGATAGACACGTACTGTTCAGGCGTCACCGGATATGCCTCTGATCAACGTTCAAAATCGTGTTACGTCACTCTAATCCTCGCTTCCTATGTTTCGCCGAGACTGTGGCACTAAGCCAGATGAAGCCAGTACTGTGTGTTCAAAATCCATTTTTGTTATGAGCATAAGACTGCCATGGACATAGGGGTGAAACTTTCGTCATTCATTTTGCACCTTGAGTTTGTTTGGTCACATCCATCGTTATTTATGTACTATTTATCCTACTATGGCGACCAGTCAAAAACATCCACAGCGTTTTCTTTTATGAGTAATGTCTCCATGCATGAACCTGATCATGGCAACCACCTGTCCAAGAGAACTACTTTTTGTCGGTCCTTTGAGTGGTTGCCTTAGATAGGTTTGACTGTAGTTGAAATCGGTTATTGTGAATTGTACTGAGGAGCCAATCCGAAATGCATGCATTTACCAGCTTTCGTCTTCTTATCGCATTGTTCTTTTTACTCTTCGTTACCTTGCCTTTAACCAGCCACGTAATGCACGTACCTAAAGAAAGATTATTAGTAGCTTGCTTTGCGCAATCCTGAGCCCCATTTACAAACTTCCTATCAATTATATTGTGATTATATTATATTGTGATTACATTATATTGTGATTATTATATTATATTGTGATATATCACAACAATCAGGCAGGAGCAATGATTATTTTAACGTCAGTCATCACTTATTTATTTTACATAGTCACCGGGTGGCGAATCCGCATGATGTTTCCCCAGAATCTTAGTTATTCTTACATGCTGGAAACACAACATACAGTACGAGAACCTAAGTCTTTTTTCCTCACTGTTTACTGATCATGCATTGTTGCTCTGGTGAAAATGTGCGTCCGAAACTTGCCCCCATCCCGATCTTGTGCACAACGCACCGGTAGTATCGAGTGACCCCGTTGCTTGCAGGCATTGTTGGTTCGCCAACGCTTGTTGGGTGATTTTCTACCATTACATTTCATTGGACGAATAGATGAGATTGAACAAGTACCATCCCCTTAACTGAACTAAACGTTTGCCCGTTCCTTGTGAAGGGTCCTGTTTTCGCTTATTTTGCATTAGGTGGTTTGGGTTTCTAGGACAATCATTTACATCATGACAGGAAGTTGGTTTATTTTTCGCCAAATTTAGTAGTCTTAGTCCGTTTCGCCCACCGCCTTGGCATTCACACAGCCCATCTTGCGCTTTTTTGGAACATACAAAAACGCAGCACCACGCACTGACGGCGTACGCGTTGTCGTCTCTTAACCGCATTGCTCGTTTAAATCCTGCACGTGTCTGAGTCCTCTGCGGAGTACATAGCGACGCGGGACCATAGAAGCTAGAGTCTGATAATACAGCAGTGGGGCACAATAAAAATAAACACTTTGTATACACGCCCTTCGTGAGGTGGACCTGCGTGGATTAACCGCGTTTTATTAGAATTACTATCCGGTGCTTTTCAGCCAAACTGCCAATTGTGCTCTCATTTGTGGTTGCTTTAACTCTGTCTTTCCCTACCATCGGTCTACCTCCTTTCTTTTGCTCGCATTATAGTTGGTAAGCTGCATGGTGTTGCTTGTCCCACATTCTCACGAGTTGTGGCTTTTTATTTTCCGTCTCCCTTACTTATCCGTTCGATTCTTCTTTTCTGCTTTGTTCCGCTTGTGGTTCTTTCTACCTAGTCCTTTGCATCATTGACAAATCAAGTTAAGTTCATCCCCATTGGACTTGGTACAAACTGTCAACAGCCCATAACACTCACTCTACCGAGTGTATAATGTAGTTGCATGCGTGCTATCTTTTTCTGCTGGCCTCTAGTTGCAACACCTCTGATCTTGTCATGTACTCTCATTATCGTTTGCATCCCAGACCCATCTGTACGAGGAGGGCAATGTTCAGCTGATATCATCCAAGGAAATTGACTTTTCCATCGACGCTTCAGAGCCAAAGCTGTTTGCGAAAGAATGCGTTCGACTGATTAAAGAAGCTGATGTAACTTATCAAGTGAGTCGCTTCATTCTACTCTCTTGGTTGTTCACCATGGAAATCATTCAGTAGATCTGACTACTGTGCCACATGTCATTTTTTTACCATTGCAGATATTTTGGCAAATGCTACCTAATTGATTAGATTTCCGTAATTTCGCCCCAAATTCTACATTTGTCGTTCCATTTGAATGTGTTTTCCGCTTCCAGATATGAGCACCTCGACTTTTTCCAACTTTTCTACTCCGAGATTGACGGCCGGTGATGCTTCCGCAATCACGTTGTGATATCGATAGTCATGCTCATATTCAACAGGGGTACATAAGTAATTTAACCGACGCCTCCTATGCACATAATCACCATTATAATGCTGATTACTGACAAGGGCAGAAGTGGATCCCATGGTAAAATCTTAACGCAGTCCTCATCGACATATCTCCATGTTGATAGCGCGGTAGCAAACAACTAGCGGTGTCGAGAAAGCGTCTTCACCGCTTTCACTGCACTGCAGTTTAACCAGCCTCACACCATGAATTACACGACATCACTCACCACTTAAATATTCTGTCCGACTAGAAGGCGATGGCAAACGCCTCTATTGGCACCGACTGTTAGGGCGAGACTTGTGTGCCGCCGACACCATAGGTGGTGGACATCGGAAAAAAGTCTCGAGCTTTTGCTATACTGTTCGTGATCTCATCTTTTAGTTCACAAACGCTAATCTAACTGCCTAAATGCTTGTATTTATTGGGACTTCTGACTGATAACCACTAAGCGTCAGCACGAGAAAGGGTTCCTGCTAATATTGAGGAAAGCTACATTTCGAGGGAGCAAAGCATAGCCTCTGACTCTTGACAGCCAGTGCTAATTTGTCCAGCGCTGCTTGGAACATTTGTGAGCTGTCACAGATTAGATCAGTATCGTCCGTATACTCTAACTCAAGACCTTCAGACTGGTGACTGACAACTGCTGTCCCCCTCTTCAAGAAGGGTCAGTATACTTTGTATTTCAGGTTTCGTCGAGGTCAGGGACGCATCGACTACATATACACAGTAAGTCAGTTGTTGGAGCACGGTCGCATATGTTAGCGACCCACCCTTGTCGTGTTCCCCGACATCAAAGATGCCTTCGATTCGGTGGGTCGACGTGTCCTTAGGGACTGTCAGCTGGGGAATGGGGTGTCCTAGAAGTATGTAAATATTATGTGAGCGCTTTACGCACTTAACTCGGGCAGAGTGAGGGCTTGCGGCGAGTTGTCGCTGCCCTTCAATACCTCCAGCGACGTAAGATAAGGATGTCCGCTGTCACCTTTCCTCTTCAACTTCGTTACTGACGAAGTCATGGAGATCGCGTTCACAGGACACGACTTAGAAGATGTGGAGATACCCCAGCTGAACGACTCCTTGACTTGGAATATGCTGACAACATTGCCCTCATCTATGACAGCTCCCGAACGAAACAAGCGGCACTGGATAGATGAGCACTGCCTGTCAACCGTTTCGGGTTATGTTTTGCACCTTCAAAGTGCAATGTTTTGCTCCAAAATTGGCAGGGACCGCATCCTGCGCTGACCCTTCGTGGGTACCAGTTAGAAATCTTTCAAAAGTTCAACTATCTAGGTACTTGCATTAACACCGTTGGATTTGAAGACGAGGTCACAACTGTATATCAAAAGCACGAGGGGCTTTTGCTAAGTTTCGCCACCTATGACACCGGCGCGGCATCACTCTCTCCCTAAAGAGTGGAGCATACAGTGGAGCCGTACGTTCGACCCTGCTGCATGGTTGTGAAATCTGGCTCCTTAGATCAGCGGACATAAAAAGACTTGTTACGTTCGACCACCGGTGCCTTCGCGGTGTGGCTCATATCTGGTGGGAAGACCATATGAGCAATGAACGTGTTCGACTCCTTGTTTAGAGCGCAGAAAGAGCGAGTGAACCGCTGAGCACCGTTACTTCATGCACCAGGCTCCGGAGGCTTGGCCACCTGTTGCGTATACAAGTCCACTGACTCCCGCAACGTGCGTTGTTTGCGCGCCACGGGTGGGATGGAAGAAGAGGTGAGGTGGCCAAGTGATGACTTGGTCAAGAGGAATGAGGGCCCTTACTTCGAAGTTGGCTTTGGTTAGAGCCTCTCAGCTCCCTGGTTGGGGATCGAAGGACGATGAACACGTTTGGCTGGATGCACTTCTTGACATGGCTAGGAGCCGACCTCAATGGCGTTTGTGTTGTGAGTTGCTTTGTCCCTCCTCCTCCCGCTTAGCCTCACTCTCCAACCACAATCTCATTTATTAGGCATAATATCACTTCTTTTTTGCGGCACAATAGCTGGCTGTTAGTTCTCGGGAACGATGTCAATCCGTTACTGGCGACTCAGCCGGCGTTTCTCTGTTGCATGTTTTTTTTCTTTTCTTCTTATCGCGGAATAATAGCTGGAGTGTTTTCCACCTGCAGCTAACATGTAAAAGAATGAGCGTACTTTGTGCGAAAATCATCGGGGCATTTATCTTTTTCCGTTGCCTCGAAACTTCTTACGGGTATCATTCTCCCCATAAAACCGAATCACTTAAAAACAGGCTGGCTTGCACCGTGGTCGTAGTTGCATCGACCACAGATTTACTCTTCGTCAAGTTTTAGAGGAGAGACACGCATACAGACTATAGTGGTTTTCCCTGACTTGGAAGCCTCTTTCAACTCAATTGATCGAGACAGCTTTAGCACTGCATATCCATTAAAGGTGTGCCAGCTAAACTCCTTTCCATTATACAGTCTTTCTACCGTGACTCCCGAAGCCGTGAAAGGGTCTACGGGAAACTGTCTTCTGAATTCCCCACGACAAGTGGGGTTCACCTGGGTTACCCCAAATCTCCTTTCCTCTCTAACTTTGTTATCGAAATGACCATGAATGACTCCGTTCTTTCACACGTTACCGGAGTTGAAGTTCTACCAGGTGACCAGCTGGCAAACCTGGAATATGCGGACGATATGGTTCTTTTTGGGTCTGATGCATTGGCTATGCAAACACTACTGCACAGACTTGTGCGTAGCGCTGCACGCTTCGGCATCTGCTTTGCACCGTCAAATTGCAAAGTACTGCTTCATGACTGGACCGACCCGCCTCTGGGTCCAATTATCATTGAACAGCCACTGGAAGTGGTGGATCAGTTCACTTACCTTGATAGCTGTGTCACCTTTGGTGGTCGCATCACTGCGCAAGTTACTTCGCGCATCAGCAAGACTCGTGTGGGTTTTCGGAGACTCAACCATCTATGGAAACGGCGGAATATCAGCTTGTCAGTGATAGGTAACTGTATAAATGGTCAGTGAACATCATCAACGACCGCAGTACATCAGCCATTTGAACTGATGCTTCGCTGCCATACAACCATGAGGACCTATGAAATAAAGAATAAGAAGAGGGAAAGAAGGGGGACTTACCTGAAAACCTTAATGCCCTAAGCAAACATTCAGGGTCAAGGCGCCTACACCTTGTGTAGACAACATACCGTCACAAACAGCTGGCTATCGTGCGAAGATAAAGCGGCATCGACGAGATAGCTTCCTTGCGGCTTTCACTGCCCCTCATCATACTCAACCATTACTTCGCAGATAACTCAGCACCAAACACACTTCAAACAGACAATACGATTAGGAGACGGCAGCAGACGCGCCACTGGTGTCCGTTGCAAGCCATGTCCTGTGTAGTCTGGAGCCAAGCACAAGGTGAGTCACGTGGACTCCAGCCCGGAAGGTGAGACGGACCAACGGCACCCAGTTTAGTCGTCAGTGACTTCATTTCCCGCTGGCAAGTCAACTTCTATCCTCTTCGAGCCTTGCGCCACCCTACACCTGACAGACTAAACAAGGCCCTCCTAGGTAAGCGGTGGCCAGGCATACGTAACAGGTGCCCGAGCCAATGCAACTTATTCTGTGCTAGCTGTTGTTTTAAGGAACTAGCATGATTATCACCACCTAATACTCGCCTACGCACATCATCGTTGCGGACACGCTGGTGCCATCCGACTCCAAGAATGCTTCTCCGACAACGGTGATCAAAGACTTGAAGGCGCCTCAGATCTTCAGACCGGAGGGGCCAAGTTTCACTACCATAGAGCACTCACTGTGGCCTTGTATGTCCAGCCTTTCAGACGGAGGGAAGCTCCCTTCTGTCGCCGAAGATGCCGCAGGTTCAAGAAGGTAGCTCTGGCTTTGCAGTGCGTGCGCTGACGTCAGTTTGTATGCGCCCATCATTGTTGGTGCAGCTGCTAAGATAAGTGAATTGATCAACCACCTCGAGTTCCTCGTTATCAAGGCTCAAAGAGTCATAAAGTGGCTGGTGGTGCTGCTGCAACACTTTGCACTTTGAAGGTGCGAAGTGCATGCCAAATAATGGGACTACTCTACACAGGTTATTCAGGGTTGATTGAGCGACCTCCGCTACATCGTCGAAAAGCTAGGCGATATCGTCCGCATAATCTAGATCAACTAATCTTTCAGCAGGCAGGACCTCAACGCCTACATCGTGAGATTCCGCAAGGGAACACTCCATGATAGATCTCACGACGAAATTGAACAAAATGGGGAAATCGGACAACCCTGAGGAACGCCACTTGTGGTCGGAAAGCTATCCGATAAGACACCGTAGACCCTGACGCGGCCTCTACTGTTCGAGTATAGAGCACGAAGGATGTTCACATATTTCGCGGGAACACCTTTCCGCGCAAGTATTTCGAACAGAATCGATCGGTCAACTGAATCGAACGCACACTTAAAACCGAGGAACACCGCTATTGTCGGTCTGCGGTATGCGTGGCGCTGCTCTAGCACCTGCAGCAACGTGAATATATGGTCAATACAGCCACATCTAGGGCGGAAACCTGCCTGCTCTTCCCTAATCCGAGATTCTCGTTCCACAGTGATGTGATGAACGATAATCGAGGAAAATAATTTCGTCACAACTGGCGTTAGGCTAACATCCCTGTGGTTAGAACAGTCTGCGCGACTGCCCTTCTAGTATATT